TTTTGGTTGCAGCCATCGTTATTTGGCAGGCCCAGGCTGGATTTGAACCCGCCAGCTCAGGTGTATGTGGCTGGCGCCTTAGCTGCTTGAGCCACAGGCACCGAGCCAGGCCCAGGTTTCTTGATGCAAGGTTATGTCGATGTTCCACTGTGCTATCCTACGGTTCAACCATCCTATCAAATGAGATACACTGTGTCAATAGACATATTTCTAAACTGTAAAGTGCCAGGCAAATAATCTTTACTGTTATATTAAACACATTAGATAGTACAACCCTATATTAATTTTATACATGTTATTCAAGGATTGCTAACTCTGCCCAATTTTCTTTTGCTTTTATGAAAAAAGCTGCTACGGACCTCACTGCACGGGTTCGCTATTAAAACCAGGTCTTTCAAACTTTCCGGCTAACCCCTTCCCTTTTCCAGGCATTTTATACTCACTCACTTCTTTGAGTGTGATTTCTTGCTTTCTTAAAGGACTCTTCATGGGTGCTTTAAAGAAAGTCTGAAAAAGCTTTGCAGGAGTTACCTTATTTTTCTGTGGCACTTGCCGATTGTGTTGGAGGAGGTGAGGACTGGGTACATCACGATACCTTGACAGCTTCCCCCTTCTTTCTCTCATCTGCACAAACCATTAAATTCTATGATCCAGTGAGCTGTCATTTCTGGATGATTCTGGCAGTCTGGCAAAGCTTTGCTCTCAATAGATCTGTTCTTTTTTTATGTACTTACTTCTTTAAGACATCTCTTTGGAGCACCTACTCTGTGCCGGCGACTGTTCGAAGTGCTGCATTTAGCATGGTGAACGAGCAGAAAAAGTCTCCACCCTAGTGAAGTTTTTATCCCGGCAGAAGGAGCCAGAAAAATAAACAAATAAGATAATTTCATACTGTGACCTATAAAAAACATAGACGGGAGATGGGCTGGAGAGGGGCTGGATGGAGAGGGGCTCATTTTGCCAAAGTGGTGAGGAAAGGCTTCTTTGGAGAAGTGGTGTCTGGAATGAGACTTAATGGATGAGAAGGAAGAAGCAAGGCAAGAAGGCCAGGAAATAGTTTTCCAAACAGCAATAAGAACAAGTGCAAATGTTCTTTACCTAAATCGTGAACGAACAAAAGGGAGCCAGTGTGGCTGGTGAGTGAGGAGCAAGGAGAGAGTAGCATGAAATGAGATGGAATGGGAAAGGCTAATCCTGCAGGGATTTGTAGGCTGTGGTCAAGAGGCCGGACTTTATAAAAGCAGGATGGAAATCCATGGAAGGGGCTGCAGCAGACGAGGGGCGTGATCTGATCATCCTGACTGTTGTGGGAGAATGGATAGAGTGAGCGGGCAGAGTGTGGAAACAGAGAGACCACTTAGCAGAGCTGGCAGTTTGAAGCCTGGCTCATCGCTTTCCACATGGCAGAATGGAGAAGTACTTCACGAACATTTATTAGACACTATGTTCCAGACATTATCCTTGGCTCTGGGGACCTAAAAAGAAAGCAGAAATGATTTGTGCTTTTCAGGAGCTCACAACTCTAAGGGGGGAAACTCTTAAATAACTGGAAAATGCTAGTCTGGGTTCCATCGCTATAAACTTAGATGTTTAGCGAGGCCTCACTTCATATCATCCACAGGTTCTTCGAAACTGTGACTGCAAGCAAAATGAGGTACAGCAGGTCCTTGAATTACCTTGTTTTCATTTAATGCCATTTCATTACCATGTTGATGAGAAAAGAAGTTGGTCTTGTTATATATCATTGCACTTCAAGTTGCAGTTTCCAAGAAATCAAAGATGGTAAATGAGGGTTGCTATATAAAACTCCAGGAAAGCACAGAAAATGGAAAATAAACTCAATCTTGGAATTTAGAGTAGTTTTCACAAAGCAGACTGTCAAAGGACTGTAAAGAGCAGTATAACAGTTGTACAAAAAAAAAGAAGAATATTAAAATAGATGGTACAATAATAACAGCTTATGTTATTGGGCACTAATTGCCCACAGGAAAATGGGGCAAATTTAATTTTGTATCAATTTACTCACTCCTTACAGTCCATCCTGAGAGATCATCCTATAATGATCCTCCTTTTACAGTTGACACCTAGAAGGCTAAATAACTTACCTGAGGTCACATATCTATTAAGTGGTGGTGACAGAGGGCCAACGCAAGCAGTCTGATTCCAAAGTCTCTGCTATTAGCCTCCATGCAATCACAACCATAAGGATAAAAGGAAGTGGACTGTTTGAAGACCCCAGAAGTATCTACTAGCACAATTCCATATTAGAGGTCACAAAAATGACACCTCAAACTATGGTGCTTTGGTATGTTGAGTACTTTGAACTCAAGATTATAGGATGATTGCTTGGGATGGAATATAAGGAAAAAGTGAGCAAATTGATAGAAAGAGCTTAACACAATATCTTGTGCAATTAGTGCCCAATAAAATGAGCTGTTATTATTGTGCCCTCTGTTGGAGGAGCCGGCAAGTCTCAGAAACAAAGTCTCTCTCTGACCTTCCTCTGCCCTCCTGTCTCTAGCCCCTATTTCTCTCCTATAGAGAAATAGAGAGTTGTAGAAACCAGAATTCCTCTTCCTTAAAGTGAGAGTCTTGGAAACTGGAACTCCTATCCCTCAGAGCAAGTCATAAAACCTAGAAAGGTCGCCCCTTCCTTTCTCCCTTGAAGACTCTCATTCCAGAGGGATCCGCCCATTCTCAGGAGGAAGGGGTGCTACACAGGGAAGTCAGAATTTGGAATAGATAGATGGGTCTTGCTGGTTTCCCATTCCTCTGTCTATTACCATGCATTCAACCACACCTTCTTGTCCAATCATATTTCTACACAGCTGCCCTTTTGTCACTAAATT